AGCGGCTCATGCAGGCGATTTGGGGCCCCCAGCCACCGCGCTTGGAAAGCCAGGGAATCAAACTTTTTGGAGCCTTCAGAGGCCGCCACTCACCTGCATGTCCAGCCGCTCTCCCCTCTCCCACGAGTGCTCGATCAGCAACTGCAGGGCGTCTTTGCAGCCCTCGCCTGCCCTGGCCGCCCGCAGCCCGCAGATTTTGGCGCGAATGTTCTCCTCGATGCGCGCGTGAATGAGGTTCCGCGCCTTCATGCCCTGAGCGCAGAGAGCGCGAGGTGGTGAGCAGACTTTCGCCTCCCGCGCCCCTAGCAAGCTCTGCACCGCGTCTGCCGCCCTTACCCGGTACAACCCGCTGAAGGGCACGTCGATGGGCAGCGAGAAGAGATTACGGGTCATCTCCTCGAAGGCCTCCACCAGCTGCTGCTCCGCGTCCCCGCCGCCCGCTAGCCGGGGTTCGCAGCCCAGCAGGATGCGCATGGCGATGCGGAACATGAGGCGCTTCACCTCGGGGTAGACCAGGAGGCCGCGCTCGCCACAGCTCAGCCACTGCTCCAGGCCCCTGCCCACCTCCTCGGCGATCGCCGGCACGTAGCACTGGAGCGCCTCCCGGCTGAAGGCGCGCATGATCACCTGAGCGCGGGGGCCAGAGCGTCAAAACCGGACTATCCGCCTCGCTCGCCCTCCGGGGTCCTTTTTCTAGACAACCCCAGCTCCTCCAGACCAAAGGCACGTCCCGGCTGAGAAAGCTAACCTGGGGCGTGGCGAGGGTCTTAGCTGCCTTTCACGCTGCTGGTGCTCGCCCCGTATCCCAGTCCCCACATCGCCACCCCGCCCTCACCTTCTTGCGCTGCTTGTGCGAGGAGTCGTGCAGGTTGGAGAGGCAGCCTGAGCCCAGGATGGTGCGCACCGACGTTTGGACCGACACCAGCCGGTGCTCCCCGAGCAAAATGCGCCGGACGTTGTCGGCGCCCATCACCCGCACCGTGGGCCGCCCGAACAGATGAGTCTTGTAGATGAAGCCGTATTTCCTGCGCTTCATCTGCAGGAACTTCCTCCGCTGTGGGAGGAAGGCGGAGGAGGAAGGCGGGCGTGAGGGGGCGCCGAGGACAGCCGCGCCTCGGGCTCGCCCTGCTCCTGGCCGCCGTCGCCTTCCTCCCAGGGGCACCTACCACAGCTTCAGCAGAAGCCCAGAGCCGAGTCGGGCTCCTGGAAAGCGTCCGGGTTCTCCCTAAGCGCCCTTACCTGCAGCACCATCTGCAGTGTTTCCCCAAAGAAGGGGAAGCCCATGGTTCCGGGCGGGAGGGGGAGGGCGCAGCTGCGGTCGCGGCCGCTCACGCAGTACAGGTCCCAGAGCTTGATCGCGGCCAGGAAGAGCAGCAGCGGCAGCACGAAGGTGCAGAGCGCACTGGCCAGCAGCGCCGGGAGCCCCATGGCGCGCCGCGGCCTCCCGCGCCACCTGCTGCCGCCGCCAGCGCTCCAAACCCCGCCGCGCGCCCGCTTTATAGGCGGGCCCG